ACTTTTTCTCCTACAAGAAATGTTTGTTTTTATTATTAAAACCAGCGATCATTCATATTTTTTAATAAAATGAATAATATCACCGTCATTTAACGTTGATTGTAGAACTTATTTTTCAGCTCAATACTTCTTGTATATAATGAGAAATTCCGACTAAATCGGGCTCTCAATGGGGAAAACATATTTTAATATAAACGTTAATATTATGGAAATTTCGTTTTAACTTGTTTTAAGCATAAAATAAATAGAAAAATTGTTTGTTTGTTGTGTAAGATGTAATTTCATATCGTGAACTTTAAAAACAGTATTCTCACTCGTGGCTACGCCACTCGTGAGAATACTGTTTTTAAAGCCCACTCGATGAAATAAAATTTTATCTTACACACAAACAAACAAATATCCTCTATAAATCCAAAAATATTAGCGATAACACATGTGTATATGTTGCAATAAGTTCACAGTTTCTGACTTTATTAAAATTCAAAGGGGCTGTCGTCAAGGAGACCCTTTAAGTTGTTACATTTTTATCTTATGTGCAGAAATATTACCCATAAAAATTAGATCAAATGAAAAAATCAAAGGTATTAAAACACAGGCGCTAGTCACATAATCAAATATTTTACATAATCGGTCTATATATGTATATAAAGATATAAGGCCCCCAACGAAACAAAAACATCATGCAGAACAAACAAGAACACTGCTGCAATAAACGATCAGATCACGGTTATCTCCTTCTGGTCGCCATCTGAAAGGATCAATCCAAGTGCCAACGCTTTTTATTTCATTAAAATCCCTCAAATAGCAAAGAAATTGGGAAATGTTTCTCAAAATGCCATTATTTTCAATTCATGTCGTTTTCGACGTCCAGTCCATTTATGTATACAAACACGATTTCTGATCGATTTTTACGGAAAAAACAAAAAACGGCTAGAATTTCCACGTACGTTCCATAAACAAACTCTTTTCCTATCGATCTGCGAAGTCGTCACTGATCAAATGCCCTCTTCATACGTATTTCATTAAAAAATACACAAGGATCTCGCTCTGTGACCCAGTATTTTTATCGCCATGTATAGCGCATGTATATTACTGTTCCGATCTGAATATAATATAAGGATTTGATTGGTTAAGATAATTACCGGAATACTATTGACCAATCGTATAATACTATTTCTTTTGCTTCATTTATCTGTCACTTCAAATTACAAATGGCGCACTTTACTTGACCCCCGCTTCTACAACCAATATTTTTTAAATATTTGAGTACAAAGAGGGCTCTAGTTCAATTTAGACTTCGCAGATTGATAGAAAAAGAGTTTTTGTTTATGAATTTTATGAGGACATTTTTAGATGTTTTCTATTTATTTCGTAGAAATCGACCAGAAATCGTGTTTGTATACATGAATAGATTTGGACGTCGAAAACGACATGGATTGAAAATATTGGCATTGTTCTGAAACTTTACTCATTTCTTTGCTATTTGAAGAATTTTAATGAAATAAAAAGCTTTAACGCTTGAATTAATCCTTTCAGATGGCGACCAGAAAGAGATAACCGTGATCTGGTCGTTTCTTTCAGCATTGATCTTGTTTGTTTCGCATGATGTTTTTGTTTCGTTGGGGGCCTTATATCTTTATATACATATATAGACCGATTATGTAAAATATTTGATTATGTGACTAGCGCCTGTGTATTAAAATAAATGGTATTGAACATAAATTATCTCAATTTGCAGACAATACAACTTTTGTACTTAATGACACTGATGAGTCTTTAAATGAAGTCCTAAACACACTTGCAGATTTTTCTTTATTTTCAGGTCTTAAGGTTAATTTTGATAAAACCAAGATTGTTTGGATTGGTAAACTTAAATATAGTACAAATAGCATTAAAACTAAATGGAAATTATCTTGGAACCAGTCTTCTTTTGATATGTTAGGTATAAAATTAAATGTAGAACTTAAGAAAATGGTGACAATTAATTATGATGAAGAAATGAATAAAATGCGGAAAGTACTATCCAATTGGAAACGAAGAAATTTAACTCCAATCGGAAGATCTAGAATCGTAGTCGTTAAATCTTTATTGTTATCAATATTCACACACTTACTTACAACTCTGCCAAATCCAAGTCCTTATATAATTAAAGAGTTAACTGAAACTTTCAGAGAATTTGTCCGGCATGGTCAATGTAAAATTAAGCAAGATGTCTTTAGACAAAGTATTGATAAAGGTGGTCTAGGAATGATAGACGTTGAGGCATATATTTACTCTTTAAAGATATCTTGGATAAGAAGAATTTTAGTTAATAATGGTAAGTGGATAGGTTTGGCATGCTCAATTTTTGATATAGAGAAATTAATTAATTGTGGTATAGGGTATTTAGAAAAAAAAGGTTAGTGAGAAAATAATGATTTTGGAAGGACACTTTGAATGCATATTATATGTTCTGTAAAATTGTAGAAACAAATGAAAATGAGTTTATATTCTCATCCAATTTTCTATAACCCTTTAATAACTATTGGCAATCAACCAGTGTTCTTTAAAAACTGGTTTAATGCAGTTGTAAATGTCATAGGTGATCTTTTGAAATCAAATGGACAATTTTATAAGTTTTAAATGAATTTAATGACAAATATAACATAAATTCTAACTTTATACATTAACTTTGGTATTGTAAATAGTGTATCCAGTTTCCTTTCATCTTATGATAGAACATGCAATGTCCTACATAGACCTTTTATACCACCTTTTTTAAAAGTTATTTTAAAATTTACTAAGGGTACACATCCTATGTATGAGGCATTTATTAAAACCAAGATAATACCTACTTGTATATCAAAATGGTGTGAAAAGCTCAATGTAACATTAAGTGAAGATGATTGGAGTTACATTTTTTCTTTACCTTTTAAAATATCAAATGATTCAGGCCTACAATGGTTTCAGTACAGAATTAATCATAGAATAATAGCAACTAATTAATTACTTTTTAAAATGAAATTAAACGATAACGAACTCTGTAGTTTTTGTAAAAATGAAAAGGAACTTTAGAACACATGTTTTGGTTTTGTCCGATAATAAACAATTTAATATGTTCTGTTTTTGAAAAGTACGGCATTTTTAGATCTTTGCTCAACTGTTGTAATTTTGTCCTTGGTTTGAAAGATAGTAATTCAACTGCAATAAATACGATTTTCCTTTTTCTGAAAAGATATATTTACAACTGTAGAGTAAAAGAACAAGTACCAAATACTACATTAAATACCAATTTATAATTTTGAGAGAGAAAGCAATTTACCAAAATGATTTAGATACCTTCAATAAGACCTGGATTCTTTTTTGTTAAAAGATAGAGCTATAGTTAACCTTTCATATGTTTGTAAAGCTGAAAACGATAGCCAGAAGTATAAATGATCAAAAATATATTACTTGCAAAACCTGTTTTTCTTTCACTATTTTTTTTCTTTTTTTCATATAAAAACAAATATATAATTTAGTTCCTTGTTAACTGAATAATAAATAACATATGATTATATGTAACATTGGTAAATATGGTTGTAATTGTATATTGGTCATAACGCCTGCAATACATTATATGTTTGTTACTGTTATATTATTTCATATGTTTTATATGTTTTTATATACACAAATATAATGTACGGTATAGAGCAGGATGTCCTCGACCTGCATATACCTATTGACGAGGAAAATAAATTATGTAAAAAAAATACATTATGGAAATTTCGTTTTAACTTGTTTTAAGCATAAAATAAATAGAAAATTTGTTTGTTTGTTGTGTAAGATGTAATTTCATATCGTGAACTTTAAAAACAGTATTCTCACTCGTGGCTACGCCACTCGTGAGAATACTGTTTTTAAAGCCCACTCGATGAAATAAAATTTTATCTTACACACAAACAAACAAATATCCTCTATAAATCCAAAACTATTAGCGATAACACATGTGTATATGTTGGAATAAGTTCACAGGTCTGTCACTTCTATACTTAATTTTCCATGCAATTTAAAAACTATAGGATATGGTATTATCAAATTTAATAACTTTTGTAATTGTTATTATCGCATGGTTTAGATTATTTTCTTTGTTCTCTCTAACCCATTATATTCAGTACACTTTCGATGAGGATTTGAAAACCGTATTGATATATAACAGACTATTGTTAAAGCTGTTTTTTTTTTTCGTTGATTCAAATGAAAAAAAAACTCAACTGATATATAACAGGTGAGTTTGAGCTTTTTTTGCACCAGATATATATCAGTTTAGTTTTTTTGGAATCGGGCAGGGGTAACACTCATTTCCAGTAGCAAACAAAATAGATTTATCAGTTGAAATAACAAATGTTAGTACTTCTTCAAATTAAGAAAATGCTTTATTTCAGAACGGCCCTGTATTTAAGAACAAAAATATTTTCCTTACTCCGAAGTAAGCACTCAAACGTACTTAGAAATGACTTAAATTATCTAACTTTAAATGTAGGCTTACCACGACTGAGAGTCTGTGTTAATGAGAGTTGGTGTTCAAGCTTTGTTAGTTTTTCTTTCATGAACAGTATGGATGTAGTGTAGTTCAATATATCAGACGTTACGGCTTTTTAAAGTTGATGATGGTCAAGCCCGACGTCAAATAGTTATTGCTAATAAACGCAAAGCTTATAAAAAAATAAACGTCAATTGTCTTGCCTTTAAAGCTTTTAATGAAAAGTTTATCACCTTCTCTACCAATTCCATACTCAAAATCATTAACAAATAATTTCAAACAATGTAATTATGAATTTAAGATTAAATACAAACAACACTCTATTTTTGCAAATCCGCGATGCTTGTTTACAGCTTAATTCCAAATAAGAACGGAAAAATATATTCGTACATGCTGACGGAACATGGGCAAATATTTGGTTCAAAATATTTTGTTTGAAACTTATAAATATTAAGCGCTTACATTCAATTAGCCAATCCGATTTTGCGCACTGTCTACCGCCATTTGTGTAATAAGCTAATCAGATTTTGCGCGCTGTCTGACGGCCATTTCTTTATCGACTGTGTACGGAATTTAATTAAATAGAATTATTTAAACATGATTTTTCGGATGTAATAGTTAAATTAATGTGTTAAAAGGTATTTTCTCTTTACTTTGTTTCATGAATAGCTCGAAATTAATATACTTATACGCTGACGTGCGTCTTTAATCGTTTCTTGCAGAACGTGCATTTGGTTCATGAGCATTTTCGATATTTAATCTTTTTTAAAAAGTGGATCAGTCTTTTTATATACTTGGTAGATTTATATCGAATTAACATTTCAAACATTTTACAATATCAACTGTTGGTCAAATATGCATTATAACAGTCGATCGTTTAAATTACATTGACAAATTAGTTGAAGTCATAAGTGGGCGTTGGTACCTTAATCGTATTTCATCAGAGAAATTTTTGGTACATTAAATTTACTAAAAATAGATACTTTAATAACTGGTTTGACAAGTTTTTTTTCGGATTGTTGTCACCTTGCCACAAGGTTTCTACACGTCACTAAAGGACACACAAATGAAGGAGTAATATAAAACTTTAAGCGTATTTTGACGTATTATAAAGTAATGTCTATGAATAGTTCATTTAAATAGCTAAAATGATTTAATGGCGTATACTACAGCAATATATACAGTATTATAGAAATTAATTAAACTTTGCATGATTTAAGAATGAGAATAGAAACATTTAAAGCGAAAAAAAATAAGTAAGGAGAAGAAGCGGGGCGGGCATCGCCTTGTGTGTTAAATTGTCATGTTTAGTGCCCATTGAAGGTGTATTACTTTGTTTTTTAATCGAGGATTTCTGCATAGGAAACCACCCGGTTTTCCACTGTAAAACCGCTTATACCCAGCAAATAAGACAGGACCCTTCATACCCATAGTGATCGTTCACAAGGCTTAACAGTAGACCTTATCGTTTCAGTCTTAGCCACTTTCCTGCACAGATTCAGCTTCAGTACCAAGAACGTTCTTCCTTAATAATAGTTTTCGGGATAAATTAAATATTAATATAAAATGTCAAGTTGTGTTTATCGAATTAAAAAAATGCCAGTGGACTATTTATCTCGTACAGTTCCTGTAAGAAATACACGGGGAGGGTTTTGTAGCTCCGTATATACATGTATACGGTTCTAAATACATCCCTGAGACTGAGCATGAGTACTGTTGTGCAGTACTATATATGGATAAAAAACTATGTCATCATGATATATAAAGGAGTTTAGCTTTTAATAATAAATGATATATACTTCATTTTTTTTCTTTGGCTTACAAATAGATATTATTTTTCAATACGTCATTCGGGTCGGCTGTTAGACAATCCTAACAATTCTGCGTGACATTCGATATTAAGTTGAAATAATTAACAGTGTCGTCTGACATAAACTTGAATATTTCAGTTAAAATTATAGCTTAAATTTTATATAATATCTAAGATTAAGAATAATAAATAAATCTGTTTTATATAATATTATTATTAATTAATCTTTTATAGATAAATATTTTTGTCCTCAATAACATGTTTGTACACTGTTGAATATTCTTGTTTTCCGTACATATATTAATTTCTTAACGGAATCGTAAGTTTATAATCTTCCTCCTAATCACACGGAAATAAATGAATTATCAAACATCAATGATCGTACACGTATTAACATCTGCTTAGATCAGAATATATTTTGAAAGAGTCCGAGGACTGGAATCCCATTCTAATAAAATTGTCCTGTTACTGCGTTTCGAAAATACCGGGTATTCCCATGAATTTGACGGTGACGTGTTTTACAAACTTTCATAGTTATCAGTCCTTCAATTCGAAAGATTAGTATATAAGCAATGTCTAATGTTTTCCCTTCCTCTAAATAAATTTCCACTTTAAAAGATTGTTATATTCGACTGTTTTTGACGGTGTTGAAATGAATTTCGATACAAAACGATATGATATAATTATATAGATGTAATAATACATGTTGGGATTGCATCTGTTTAACTTCGACAAGGTACTTGTTATAGATTTTGTCACTTACACTTACATTGATTAAAGGACTTACTTAGTAAACGATCACACAATGATGAAAGTGATTCCAGACATTTTTTATCAAAAATGTTATTCCCTTTCGTATTTATTAATTACAGCATTACTGAATGTGTTAAAAGTAAGAGGTGAGCAAGGAATAAGATTGGATTTAATTTCATTCGACATACGAAATTGAGAATAATTTCATTCATATGAATTGTATTGGTGTTTTATATTACATTTATTAAACGAATTTGATTCAAGTTTTACTCAATTTAAATTTTGTTTATTCAATTCAACATTTAAATACAGGTGGCTGGGTAAGTCATAATATTTTAAAAGGAAATAAAAGCAATTGAGAAATCAAAACAGTTAATGGTTTTAGATAAACAATGTCCATTTTTTTTACAAAAAAAGAGCGAAATACATTTCTTAAATATTGCACGATACTGTTTCCGTGGCAATTGGGCTTATTAAAAGTTTAAAGCATTAAAACAAATGAAAGGAAATATTCTGATTTTAAACAAATTGCGATAGAGATAGTTAATACAGAAATCATTGTAAGAGACCGATTGCTACATCTGACAACTAATGCCTACGCCACATTACAAGCGGGACCGGCTGATATAGAGGGATCGATGGGACATCGTTGATGATTTGAGATTTCAATCATGTCCTAGAAGAAGTGGGCGGTCATCCTCCCTCTGTAGTCCATTAGGTATTCCGAAGGGTACTCGTCCGGTCACCCAGTGAAAACCCTTGGCATCTTCTTTCTAGACACCGGTCGATATACTAAAGGTAACCGACAGACTACCGTACGATAAATTTCCAATTGCCTTCCGTTATCTGGCCTGTTTGCAACAATCGTACGGTTTTAAAAGGTAAATGGAAAATTGCGTATTCGGCGGCTTCAACGGGTTAAAATGTATGGGTATCCTTTTTCTGGTTTTCACACCCCCTCTTTTGATGGCATTTTCATTGCCTTCTTCCACTCTTATTTCTCCACCACCCCGTCTTTGCTTTCTGTTTTGGATGGTATATTACACTCTGAAGTCATAGTTTTCCATAAAATATTGTAAATGAAACTTGAAAAACTTTAAGAAAATATGATAAACAAGATCAACAAGGAAAGGCGGCGTTCAATGAAACCTCTGACCTGTGTGAAATAGAGAAATACAGAATCCCTAAAGAAAGCCCAACACAACAAAATTGTAAAAGGTTGCAGGCTCGGTTTGACTGAGCCTGTTCATGGACGGTAATGGAAAGTGCAAGTTACCGGCTTAAGCAGAATTCAACATTAAACACGAAAATGGTGAAATTTTGAATTTAGAAACATCCGCAGATGTGTTCATATGGCGATTATCATGGAACCTTCAATATGACACAGTAGTGCCATTCCATGAAAAGCGGCGTATGGTCCCCAAGTAAAGGAATGCTTGTGCCCTAAACGAGAAAACAATGAGCGGAACTAAATAAAATGAAATTTTGAAAGGGGATCTGAGGTTATGAAGCTTGCATATGACGGATATGACGTCAAAAGACAAATTTAGTAACAGGCAACATATCCTATGGGTGATTATACAGTATTCAAGTAGGAATACTGGAACCACCCAAGTTGAAAAAGACCAAATAGAAGAAACTTAAAGTACCACATAACATGTATACACAACAATAATGTCGTGCTGAACGATCTTAAGGGATCGAAAATATAACATCATTGATTAAATGTACGGGAAGACTTGTGAAAACTGAGAGAATATGTGTGTGTTATTGAGTTTCTTAATACTTGCCATCGGTTGCCCGCCAGAAGAGTATTAGTCTTTTTAGATTTTGGAGGAAAGTGTAAGATACAGATACAAAAATGTAGCAGGATGCCACAATTTAAGAAAAAATATGAAAAACAAGATAAATAAGGAAGGCGGCGTTCACTGAACGCAACCACGACACTATACAGCAACACAGGATGACCACCGCCAAGGAGCAAAGCAGTACACCAAACAATCTTTCCTTTTTCTTCACCTATTCAAGTGTTTATGCATACATACACGGGACTATGCTTTAAAGTCTCGTCCAAAAGATTCTTAGTAATTTCAGTTGGTCATCCCGGAAATCTAATCCACAATGTCCAGATTACATTTCTAGCGTTTTAACTGATTCAGCTCTGCACACTAGTTAATGAGAGGATGATAGTGGTATCTATGATTTACCCTGATGACTATGGCAGTAAGCCAACTTGAATATACATACCAGAGCACAGTTCAGCCACTGCATCGTTCCTGGACAGTCTGTCAAACAGTTAAACAGTAATAATCTCTTTCACTTTCGGTACTGATACCGATAACTTCTATTCAACGAAAGTGACCTTCACCCTTGTCCAAGAATTGAACACTGATCGCCTAATTCACAGTCCAAGGCTTTACCTCCGTAAGGTCCGTTTAATAACCCTAACGCTATCCTTACGGACACCTTAGGACTATACGTGCAACGTTCTGCATCCGTCCGGGCCCTGGTCAGTAACCTGTCGAGACGCCTTCGGTCACCGCTCACATACCGCTCGGAAAATGGAAGAAAAATTGGCGCCCAGGAGGTAAAAGTTTTCACCGGTATGTAACCGATAACCAAAGTTGTCCGATCGGGTATTGGAGGGTATTTTACCGTGTCTGCTAATAATAACCCTTCACAAAAATTCTCCGATTACCTGTACGGTGCCCTACCGGTGACTTGACACCTGAGGGTCACTTGCCGGAGACCTTTAAAAATTGTCAATTTCAGCCCGTTCCGACATCGGTACCCCATCGTAAACCTAATCGGAGTGTAATGTGACGCAGGCTTAACATCTTAAAATCACCGTTGGATTTTGGCTGATATCCGGACGATTGATTCGTTTGTCAAAGATTGACACCTAGCCTCGAGGTTATAAATCTGAGTTCTGTCTTGAAACTTAGGAATTTCATTGGCCAATATACATTCTGTGTTGGTTTCTTATCAATCAAATACCTTGGATTTGAGTTTGTATCATTATTTTTTTTATAACCTGGGACTTTTGTCTCACCTTATTGCCAAATGTTTGACTGCAAACAAGTCGGTTATATCCGCCCTTAAGCACATCTGTTTTTAAACTCGAAATGGCACCATTTTTATGTTTAAATTAAGCGGTGCTAGGGGACGGTAGCTTGCAATTTCCAGTACAATCCATTTACATGCACAATAAAACCGATCATGCAGCATTTTACAATTTCGCCGTTTTGGGCGTTCTTTAGGGTTTCCGTTTTTCTGTAAAAAGCTCTTCTGATTTTTTAGTGTTAACGGCGGCTACATAAAGTTTATTCTCAGTGCACACAATGTTTTGAAAGAAAACATTAAAAAAACATGATACGGTTTTGATAAAAGGCAACAGTTATAGCTATATATTATATTCACCCCAGTTTCAAAGTGGTGTTTTGAACCAAATCATTTGCACTGATCTCAAAAGAAATTTAATACCTAACTAAAGAGTTTAAAACATAAACCACCCGTTTAGGAAATAGTTTAAGGCACATAAAGCCTAAGAAATTCTTAAAATAAATAACAGTTTACTTCTTTAGAAAGACAAAGCATGTTTAATAATGTTTTTAATAACGTATTTTGACCATCTAAGATGTTTATCTCCAGGAGAAAGTAACACATGACAGACAAAAAGGTAGCAAAAAGAAAACAAAGGGACTTTTTTTTTAATTTCATACAAAGCATTAAATCACTATAACTATACCGACTGCTACAAAGCAAAAAAAGCAAGCGATATACAGAAAGTGAGAAGCTTTCTATACTGTGACATTACACTAAAAATAAAATTGTTTTGAGAAATTTCGGGGACTTTACCTAAGTAAAATATATCGGGACAAGTAATTGGAGCCTTTCCATTCAGACGAAAAAAGCCGCCATTGTGTCTTATCTTGATTTGAAAGGCTATGTTTATTCAAAGGTGTAAATACGAGAAATTTTAGCTAACCGGCGTGAGACTTCGATAGTCTTAAAAGTTAAAGTATTACAATGGTCTAAATATTATCATTAATTATGAAAAAAGATAATTTATTATTTTATGAAATAATATGGTTATACATGTATTATGGCCTAGATTTTACTGAATAATAAAAAATGTCCTAAATTATTAGTTCCAGCCTGTTTTTATATAGTATTGCATATTTCATTTTACATTATTTGTCAGAATGAAGACATAAAAGTTAGTACCTACATGCAATTACATTACGTTTAATGACTTTAATATGAATTATTGAACATATATAGTTCATGTAGTTATGAAAAGAAGTTAAAATCTTCATAAATTAATAATCTTAATAAAACAATACATTTGAGATAAAAAAGAACCTAATGTTGTTTTTGTTTTTTATTTCAGTTAAGCATACCAATTGAAGATCACTCCGTGATAGCTATTAGAAATATGAGTGGATTCATTTTTATTGCGATAATTATTGTTCAGCAACTGCTGACAATAGCTGTGAGTTCAGATTTAAATACTCAACAAGTGTTCAGTAGCTCTGAGTTGCCCTTAGATGTTGAAATATTTTCAAACTATACATTTGAAAGGATGGTGCAACCAGAAGAGTGTTCATATAGTAATTTAACAAAATGTCATATCAACGAGGGTTTGCATAACGATTACCATTTACAGTGTTACAAAGACGTATGTCGGAGGAAACATTACTATTGTTTGGACAAACCTAACGACAACACCGTTCATATATGTGGGAAAGCTGACAAGTGTGATAAACGTGAGTAGAATCTACCTCTTTACATATTAAGTTCTCTTGTATGTTATTTCTGTCTGATTTATCTTTATATCAAAATGTTTGAAAGGAAAGAAGTCAACATGATCATTTCTGTAATTTACTTATTTCGCCTGTTGTAACTATAACAGCTTTTAATTTTGCTCGGATTCATGAATATTATTTACACTGTCACGTTTAATAGGAACATCCTGGGGCTAACACTAAGGTTTTCTGCACCAGTAACTGGTTAAACTTTCAAATAGTGCCTTTGATACTGGCCGTTTCAAGTAATCGCCACTATGTATTCCTGCATGCAAGACTTGTTTATTGCTCCGACTTATGTTTAATGCCTTGCTAGACTCCTTGCTGGAGGTCATTTGTTGCTGGGTTTGTTAGGGATGCGTGCATCTAAATACTGCTGTTACTTATGTTGCAATTAAATAACACAAGATTTAAATCACATGTCTGTACTTTTTATATTACAGGAAAAAGAAGCATAGCTGTGATTATTCCAAACGATTTGAATCAAGTTCATGTCTGTAGCATTGCGTGTCAGCCCGGATATGCCCAAGTGAATGGGGTCAATTGTTTTAGCCCTTGTGTCAAGGACGACTCTATTATTGTTCGGGCGACAACAGAGACAGACGGAAAACGAGCTTTGGCACGCTGCCACGCCGAGGAAGGCTATTGCAATGCAAATCGCACAACGTATTTTGAGATCGGGTCAAGTGAAGACGAGTGCGTTGTTGCAGATGATGACCTTGGAATACGTTGTGAAAAAGGTGAAGAGTTAATGCCAGGTATGTTTATTAAAAATTTATTCTGAACATCTATAGCAATAGGCATGCAATGTACATGTATTTTTACATAAGGAAAAAGGGGCCGATTGTTTAAATTCGTTTATTTCAAACTATTTTTCCCTTATCGCTGTGGGTTCAAATCCCTACAAGGACTTTGAATTCTTTCATGTAAGAAAATTCGAGATTATTATAATAACAGACACACTTGAAATAATAACTCATTTCTATAGATATGTGAACGTGACTTAAACAAGTGTAGGACAATGTTTAAAAAAACAATGACAATGAAAGTTGTTCTCTATTAAAATGTCTTCAATAATTCTTTAATTAGTTGTACATATTTGTTTTTCCCCCTTTTAACGGATTGAAAATACACTGTATAATGAAGCCGAGGTATGTTCGTTCTATTGATTAAATATGAGTTCAGTACTTAGTATTTTGTTTCTCTGTCTCAGACTGTTCGTGCGTAGAGAAATGTGAATCTACCGACGAAAGGGATTGGAATGATTCACTAATGTGCAAGCCGAAAGAGAAAAATGCTGTCACGTAAGTGGAATTAGAAAACCAAGTCGCAAAAATAACTAATCCTTCTGCGTAAATTTCACATAGAACACGTAACATGTGGGAAGTTTTCTTACATAGTTGTGGTTTTAAGGATTGGTGTTTTGCAAGGTTATATACAAGTGTTTGTTCACATTCCTATTGTATTATTTGATAAAAGGTGAAAAATATCTGTTATAATAGTTTGTATTACTATGCGTTTAATTTAAATTCCGACATGTATACACCAGTATTGATTTTTGTTTTGTGTCTTTTTGTTATGAGATTATTGCTTTGTATTTAGATTTATGTGTTTTTACTTAATTTTGATTAAGACAAAAGAGACGGGTGTGGCGAAATATCAAAGTGCAAGGTCCGAATTAAATTTTTTCGTAATATTTAAACATAGAAATGCCTAATCATATATATACAAATATATCATATAGAGAAAGAAATGGTTATGGCAAACTATCTATAACAAACATGGCTAAAACAAATGTCTTCCCAAAACATTTCCTAATCCCTTTTATATAAATAATGTTTTTCTTTCGTACGAGTAAAAGTCTTAGCTATTAATTATAAATTTCGCATATATGTACAATTGAAATATTTATTAAAAAGTGTATATCAACTTATGAAATAAAGGTAGTGTATGTATCATTAACAATCTCACTTATGTTCAGATCTACTTATTTCTTTTATGTTGATCTGAAGACGACGGTATTTGTTTCACTTCTTTATAAGTCGGATTTCCCCGAGAAAACTATTTTTAGCCATGCAATCAAACCGGCTTTTTACATAGGTAATATAAGAAGTATACGTGGCAGTTAAACAAATTGTTGATTTGTAAGAAAAAAATATTTGAAGTAACTTTTAACAATTACTTGAAAAAATAAAGTCAATTATTAATTGGAAAGATTGTTTTGCCAGATTACCTGTCGGGCTATATGGACAACGCCATGTTTGTTCTCGAAATTGTGAAAATTACGTACTAAGTATTTGTTTTCCCAGTATTAAAATTATAAACCACATCGCTTTTTAAAATTATGAAAGCTCACCGATGATTGGCTGTGTGAATTGTCACCAGAAATAACTTCGTATATGGTCACGCTCAGATCTAAAAGCGGATCGTTATTTAGAGCTGATTCCAATCAGATTGGTATCATTAATTGATTAGAAACTCTCAAAGACTTGACTTCTGTTCATGTTTAATCTGCTTAAGCCAGCGCTGGGGTTGGTAGTGAACGTAAACATGCAATTACCACACCACAATATTTTCAATTCTGACAATTTGGGCGTTTTTTTCCCTTTTTCAGGATGACTGACCATGCATTTTCAGCGACGAATACTATAGTCAAAACTTATACAGAAATAACACCTAAGAAAGAGGAAGTGTCTTTCGTATCAGCAAATGAGGAGAAGTCTGAAGCAATTCAAAACAACTTTAAAGAAAAAACAGGTGATGTATTTATATTAATTATAATTTTTTATACCTATTATTATTTGTTTAAGCATAGACATATTTTAATTGATTTGCTTATGCAAATATACCCCTTACTATCGATGTCACTATGATACAAAATTCGCTCCAACCCGTGCTGGCTGTGTGCTATACCAGGTGCTAGCAAGATATTTAGCAAGTGCTACAGTGTATTTGTCAATAAAATGAGTTTGTGTTATGTCAATAACTTCTACATGCATGGTGGGATTTCAAAGTGTATTAATATACATGACTGCCATAAGTAGGCAATATGTTGCATGCACCATATAGGTTCCTTGCTAAATGGTCAAGGTCTCAGTAGTAGATTACGCGTTGGCAAATTGCCTACTTTTGGTTATCAAGTAAATAACGTTATTTTGAAAAACAATCATCATGCTGAAGTTATGAAACCAAATTGCAATTACGAAAATAAATCACTCCTTTTACCACAATCCTTTCATACAATGGTGAAATAATTTTGTTTTACAATTTCGTTAAACAAAACATTTAAGCTTAGCGTGTTCTTGCAATAATGCTTAAATGTTTAATGTCAGGTCGAAAGTATAATTGATGTGAAAGTATCTGTGTTTTCAGATCAAGTGTCAAAATCATTGACATTTTAAATAATTGAAGTAAGATAAGGTAATGTTTAACAATAATTCATGTTTGATATCTTTTATTTGCTTCTCTTTTCACACATAGTCGTGGTAGTTATATGTCTTAAAATATGATAAAAGTAGTTATATGTCTTAATATATGATTAAACGTGTAACTAAAGGGAGTTTATAAAATAATAAAAATATCTACATAACATTTAACATTAGTTGCTCTATGGTTTTCTTCGGTAAATATTAAAGAATACAATAATGCTTTTTATGTTTCTGGTAAAAAGATAACTTCTAACACTGTGATCTTACAACTTATATGTGAAGGATAACTTCTCCACACTTAAAGGGTATGGCTAGATGTCTAAATGGGTTAATTTAATTTCTTAAAGTGAATAGGTCTAAAACGGAAGATCTGAAATACAGTAAAGAATTACGTTGAAAGTATTTGTATAAGACATAACAACAAACCACGAAAAATTATTTTGGAAGTTGTTTGCAAGTGTGAGATACATGATAAACTACATACTTATATTAATATAGCAGATAATAAAATGTTCTAGAACAAATATTATTTTTCATAAAATAAAAATTTTCATTCTAAATAACTAATAACTTTATCAAGAATTTTATTGCAAGCAACTTTTTGTAACAATATCCAAATGTTCATCTCTATTGTTTTTTTTATCAATATTTGAAGATTTGTGAATATGTACCAATTATAGACCTATTCACTTTAGCTTCCTAGTTAGAATATTTCTTTGTTATAATATTTTATAAAACATACACTGTTTACTGAACCGATAAAAATTGTTCGAGTAAAGCGGGGTTAAGTTACTAAGAGACAACTGTACTTTATATGTAGAATCTTACAAAAGTTGTCATTTCATAAGGTATCAAATGAAACAAATCTAACACAATTATAACTTTGCCTTGTAACATCTCTGCGACGACTTTAGATAATGTAAGTCTTTAATAACTGACACCAAATGTAAGATCTGTTTATCATATCATCAAAATTGTATACGAGATCGTTTATGGCATATCATCATATAGGTCTCTTCGTCGATAATACAACTTTGTATAGCAGTGTCGAAAATTATGTCACTACTTCAATCCGCTTAACAAGGTTCTTGAAATAATCAATTCGTGGGCACAACAATGGCTTGTAATCCCCCGCCGAAAAGGCGGCGTGGGATATAAAAATAGTCTCCGACCGTCCTTCCGTCCGTTCTTCCGTCCGTCCGTCCTTCCGTCCGACAGTTTTGTCCGGAGCATATCTCAAAAAGTATTTAAGGTATCAACTTGAAACTTCATAGGTAAATAGACCTTATTGAGGAGGAGTTCAGTGCACAAGAATGATAACTCAACCCTGTATGTGTATAATTTTTGAGTTATTGCCCTTTGTTATTTTTCAAAATTGATTTTGTCCAGAGCATTACTCAAAAAGTATTTGAGATATCAACATGAAACTTCATAGGTATATATATCTCACCCAGGAGGTGTGCATTGCACAAGAATGATAACTCTACCTTTCATATTTTTTCAGTTATTGCCCTTTGTTATTTTTCATACTTAATTTTTCACCTGAGTGGAGCATAACTCAAAAAGTGTTTGAGATGTCAACATGAAATGTTGTAGGTGGATAGATCTTATTGAGGAGGAATGCTGTGCCCAAGAACGATAACTCTTTGCTATATAATTTTTGAGTTATTGCCCTTTGTTCATTTTCATACTATTTTGTCCGGAGCTTCTCTCCAAAAGTATTTGAGGCATCAAAGGTGGATGGATCTCATTGAGGAAGAGTGCAGTGCACAAGAATGATATATCTACCCTACATAATTTTTGAGTTATTGCCCTTTGTAATTTTTTCAAAATTAATTTTGTCCAGATCATAACTCAAAAAGCCTTTGAGATATCAACATGAAACTTCATAGGTGCATAGATCTCACTCCGGAGGTGTGCAGTGCATAAGAATGATAACTCTACCGTTCATAATTTTTGAATTATTGCCCTTTCTAATTTTTCAAAATTAATTTTTGTCCAGAGCATAACTCAAAAAGTATTTTAGATATGAACATGAAACTTCATAGGTGCATAGATCTCACTCAGGAGGTGTGCATTGCACAAGAATGATAACTCTACTTTTCATAATTTTTGAGTTATTGCCCTTTGTTATTTTTTATACTTAATTTTTCACCTGAATGGAGTATAACTCAAAAAGTGTTTGAGATGTCAACATGAAATGTCATAGGTGGATAGATTATATTGAGGAGGAATGCTGTGCACAAGAATTATGACTCTTCCCTATACATTTTTTGTGTTATTGTCCTTTGTTATTTTTCATACTATTTTGTCCGGAGCTTCTCTCCAAAAGTATTTGAGGTATCAACTTGAAACTTCATAGGTGGGTGGATCTCATTGAGGAGGAGTGCAGTGCACAAGACTGATAACTCTACCCTGCATAATTTTTGAGTTATTGCCCTTTGTAATTTTTCAAAATTAATTTTTGTCCAGAGCATAACTCAAAAAGTATTTGAGATATCAACATGAAACTTCATAGGTGCATAGATCTTACTCAGGAGGTGTGCAGTGCATAAGAATTATAACTCTACCTTTCATAATTTTTGAATTATTGCCCTTTGTTATTTTTCATACTTAATTTTTCACCTGAGTGGAGCATATCTCAAAAGTGATTGAGATGTCAGCATGAAATGTCATAGGTGGATAGATCCTATTGAGGAGGAATGCTGTGTGCAAGAATGATAGCTCTTCCCTATATAATTTTTCAGTTATTGCCTTTTATTCTTTTCATACTTTTTTGTCCGGAGCTTATCTCAAAAAGTATTTGAGGTATCAACTTGAAACTTCATAGGTGGATGGATCTCATTGAGGAAGAGTGCAGGTGAATAGATTTTACTGAGGAGGGGTACAGCACATAAGAATGATAACCTACCCTGCATTATTTTTCAGTTATTGCCCTTTGTTATTTTCGGCCATCAGTATTCACATAAGTTTCGAATCTGTTATCACTTCAGCCATCAGTTTTCATTACCAAAGATTTTAAAATTGAATTATTCTGCTCTACTACATATACATTCTTCCAATGAGCAAACACTTTCGGTGGGACATGGCTCTTGTTTCCTTCAGTTCCTCTAAACAATGTAATCTTAGTAGCACAGGTAAACAAAACAAACCAGTTCATCCACCCATCCTTCTTAACAATGCATAAAGTAACTAGTCAACATTTACAAGCACTTAGAATTTACCTTCTCAGGATAACAGTTGTTGGACAAACTACATTCAAAGCATGAACAACAAAACATTATTCTCAGAACTTTCAAACTCATCCTTGAGAGAAAGCTATCTACAATAATAACTTTTCTTTCATACGTCCAATCTTTAATTATGCTTATACTGTTTGGGAAAACATTGTTTTTGTTTCTTTTCTTTTGGAAGGTTAACACTCTTGCTCCCTCACATCTCCCAAACATGGACCCAGCATTTGTTGGTCATTATACTCCTTAAGGTCTTTGCAAATCTTACGATATAACAAATGTCCTTTGTTACTTTCCACTCCCCCCATTTCTTTCTTTTGTAGACAATCAAGGCTTGGAATTTTTTAGCCTCCGACCTACTCTCATTTAAAAAATGCTTTAAATAAAAACATAAAAGAAGTGTCAACTTTCTATTTCGAAGGCAACAGAAAACCTAAATCCTACACGCTAGATTACGCGTGCACTGTTGTTCTCTCAAAGGACATCTCTTTTTATACAGGAATATCTCGGTGGTCGGTTGGTCGGTCAACACAATAAGAGGAAAGGCAGTGCACAAGAACCAGTAACTCTATCTAGATGAATTACAGAGTTATTGCCCTTTGTTATTTTTCCATTTTTTATGTTTGTCCGAACTATAACTTGAAGAGTAATGGTTGGAATTCAATATTACTTCATATAATGGTCAAGCACATTGAGAGGAAGTGCAGTACACAAGAACCATAACTCAATCTTCACTAATTACAGAGTAATTGCCCTTTGAAACTTTTCCTTGTCTAGAGCATAACTTGTAAAGTACTGGTTTGAATTCAAAACAACTTCATACAATGGTTAAGCACAATAAGAGGAAAGGCAGTGCACAAGAACCATAACTCTATTCAGAGTAATTATAGAGTTATTGGCCTTTTTTATTTTTTTATTTTTTTAATTGTCCAGAGCATAACTTGAAAACTACCAGTTGGAATTCAATACAATTTCATACAATGGTCAAGTATATTGAGAGAAAGCGCAGTGCACAGAAACCAAAACTTTTGACTCATTTAATAGTTTTTTGTCCTTTGTTACTTTTTATTGCATAAGTTGAAAATTAATGGTTGGAATTCAAAGAAATTTCATACAATGGTCAAGGGCAGTGAGATGAAGTGCAGTGCAGAAGAACCATAACACTATTTTGGACTAATTACAGTAATTGCCCTTTGTTACTTTTTTGTCCATTGCATAACTTGAAAACCAGTATTTTGAATTCAATACAACTTCATACAATGGTCAAGCGCAATGAGGGGAAGTGCAGTGTTCAATAAACATAATTCCATCTTCAGTATTTGTAGTTATTGCCCTTTGTTCCTTTTCCTTGTCAGGTGCATAACCTAAACAAGAGGGCCATGATGGCCCTAGATCGCTCACCTGACTTATCAAACTCATCCAAACAATTACCTAGACAAGCATTCTGACCAAGTCTCATGACAGGTGAGTCAAAAATGTGACCACTACAGTGTTAACAAGGATTATCCATATTTGAGCAGTGCGACCTAGTTTTTTACCCAGGTGACACATATTCAAACTTGACCTAGAAATCATCAAAACAAACTTTCAGACCAATTTCCAGGATACTTGGATCAAAACAGTAGCAACTAGAGTGTTAACAAGATTTTTCTATTTTTAGCTCCGGTGACCTAGTTTCACATGCGATTTCGAACTCATCCAACAAGCATCCTGACCAAGTTTGATGATAATTGAGTCGAAAATGTGACCACTAGAATGTTAACAAGGTTTTTCCATATTTGGGCGGTGTGACCTAGTTTTTCATCCAAGATGACCCATGTTCGATCTTGACTTAGAAATCATCAAAACAAACTGTCAGACCAATAAACAGAATATTTGGATCACAACAGTAGCCACTAGAGTGTTAACAAGATTTTTCTATTTTTAGCTCCTGTGACCTAGTTTTTCATCCGAGATGTCCCATGTTCGATTTATTCCCAGCAATGACCTAGACAAGTTTCCTGACCAAGTTTGATGACAATTGAGTCAAAATTGTGACCACTAGAGTGTTTACAAGGTTTTTCTATTTTTAGCTCCAGTGACCTAGTTTTTCATCCTAGATGACCCATGTTCGACGTCATCCGAGCTATCAACTAGATAAGCATCCTGACCAAGTTTGATGATGATTGATGCAAAAATGTGACCGCTAGAGTGTTAACAAGGTTTTTCTATTTTTAGCTCCGGTGACCTACTTTTTCATCCGAGATGACCCATGTTCAAACTCATCTGAGCTATCACCTAGACAAACATCTTGACCAAGTTTGATGATGCCTGATGCAAAAATGTGACCGCTAGAGTGTTAACAAGGTTTTTCTTTCTATTTTTAGCTCCGGTGACCTACTTTTTCATCTGAGATGACCCATGTTCCAACTCATCTGAGCTATCAACTAGATAAGCATCCTGACCAAGTTTGATGATGATTGATGCAAAAATGTGACCGCTAGAGTGTTAACAAGGTTTTTCTATTTATAGCTCCGGTGACCTAGTTTTTCATCCGAGATGACATATATTCAAACTCATTTGAGCTATAATCTAAACAAGCATCCTGACAAAGTTTGATGATGATTGGGTCAAAAATGTGACCATTAGAGTGTTCACAAGGTTTTTCTATTTTTAGCTCCTGTGACCTAGTTTTTCATCAGAGATGACTCATGTTCGAACTTATCCAAGCAATTGACTAGACAAGCATTCTTACCAAGTTTGATGATGATTGGTTCAAAAATGTGACCACTAGAGTATTCACAAGGTTTTTCTATTTATAGCTCCTGTGACCTACTTTTTCATCCGAGATGACCCATGTTCAAACACATCCGAGCTATCACCTAGACTAACATCCTGACCAAGTTTGATGATGATTGGGTCAAAAATGTGACCTCTAGAGTGTTCACAAGGTTTTTTCTATTTTTAGCTCTTGTGACCTAGTTTTTCATTCGAGATGAGCCATGTTCGAACTCATCCGAGCTTTCAACTAGATAAGCATCCTGACCAAGTTTGATGATGATTGAGGCAAAAATGCGACCGCTAGAGTGTTCACAAGCAATTCTGGACTTACGACGGACGACGGACATTCACCGATCCTAAAAGCTCACCCTGAGCAAGCTCAGGTGAGCTAAAACCTAATGTTTAGAATTCAATGAAACTTCATTCAATGGTCAAGCGAAATGAGAGGCAGTGCAGTGCTAAAGAAGACAAGCGTAACTTCTTTTGGACTTATTACAGAGTAATTCAAATAAACTTCATCAATGGTCAACCACATTGAAAGGAAATGCAACATACAAGAACCACAACTATCTTTAATTGCTCACAACCATAACTCTATTTCAGTTTTTTTTTGCAAGATATTCTGTTACTAGTAACTTCCTGATTTGTGAAGCAGTCCTGCGGGGGTATTAATCACATTTATTGATAGTTCTAGTTTAAAGAATAATGAAAGACCAATTTGCATTTCGGATTAAAGTGGCGTTATGCCCATCCAAGGGTATATACGAGCTTAGTGAGTGAACGGGTAAAAGTCAAAATAAGTTTCATTTTGCCATAATTCCTTTTAATTCAATAGTTAAGTTCGCATATACAATAAATAACTCACAGATCCAAACGAAATTTCCGTACATATTCATTAGGATTTACCTCTAACGCTCAGTTTATAAAAAGAGTGGGGCAGTCTTTTTAAATTTTACTAGACAGATTTGTAATGTTATCTTAAACATTTTCCAATATCAACTGTTGGTCAAACACCATTTTGACAGTCATTCTTTTCAAATATAAAGTCAATTCAGCTCAACTTGACCATGAAAATATGAGCATAATGTCACTTTAAATTGAAGACACAATACACATTCTTCTAGCATGTCCACTTTACACAAGTCAATAAATACTAGCAACACTTCGACAAATAGTGAAAATAAACTTCTCTTTGGAAATAACCCTCTGGAAACTGACACAAATACAATCATCTTTAAACATGTACCGGGGCATATAACACAATCATAGATATTCAAACACTGATTCGAAACCCACAATCCCTTCTCAAGTATAAGACCCGCGAATCTATAACGGTTTTCCTCTCCTTACATCAATTCATTCTACATATGCTAAAATTTGCATAAGCTACTTCTAAATAAAACTGGTTAATTATTATAAACAGTATTTGACTAAAAAGTATCCTTCTTACTTCTGTTGTCAGTTTCTACTTCGTAAAATCAAATAGAAAAGCAATATACGATACTGATAAAAACGTTGAAAAAAAAAGAAAAGAAAATTGACAAAGATACCATTTAACTGGATATAATATTTTTAACGTGTATAAAGACAAATGTTACAGATAATTTAGCGGTATCGTGTTGTAATTTTGTTTGGTTGTAGAAGTTTCTAGTTAGATTTTCTATAAAGGCTGTTTTACTTGTCTAATGGGTATATAGAAGAAAAAGGTAGATTAGCTTAATATTTCATATAAAAGAACATACATATATCACTTTTTTAAATAATAGTGTTAGTCTGTCACACGAGATGAAATACTTACGGATTAAGTCAAGGGGGATAATCATAGTAGAAAAAATGCTAAAAGATAAGAACAGTTATCGGCCGTTACATGAAAAGAAGCCATACGGTATAATAAATCGCTTTAAATGTTTAGAGAGAATCACAATACAATGTAAAATCCTTTACCGGGAAATCGGATTAAATATTTCTTTGTAACCAATAGTGAAGAATGGTAAATTTATATTTTTCTCTTATATTGCAGAAATTAACATTAACCATTCATCAGAATCTGGCGTAACAGTAACAATACTTGCTGTCGTGGCTGTTGTAGCTATTATATCAGGTATCCATTAAGTTTACCTTTAATCTTTGTTTTAGACTCAGATTCTGAATTTTGGTCTTATGTCATGGAATTTAGGATAAACAAAGGATTTTCTATGAAACGCAGACTTGGTTCTAACGAGATTTGTTGAGACAAAACGTATTTAAAGACCACGAAATAAATATGTTTATGTTATAAAACATGGGTTGTGATCTTTCTTTGGTTTATCTTATGTTAAATTGAATCGATTCCAATTTATACGGATGGTGTCGTATAATAATTACTGTTGGAGGAATCTTTATGGTGCCACTTCGTCTATTACTTCAGGTGTAATGCATGTTTTAGAATGGAATCTTAGACTTTATATAAACATGTTCGATAGCTTTTCGAATATAAGAGTTCAAAGTTTCTAGCGGGATTCAAACCAAATTCAATAAACTAAAGAATAATCATCAAATAACATCATGACACTAGGAGCCTTGTTTTACACTTCGAAATAGTTTATATAAGATATAAGAGCATATAAACGCATTATTAAAATTAAATTGATTCTTCATATTTTAAATCATTTAATGGTTAATTTAAATAATAATTTATTCTAAAAGAAGGTCAAGTCACGATATAAAAGAACACTTTAAATTTAGGACTTAATTGAATGACTTCTTAACGTTTTGAATCTTGACCATGCTACAAATTTTTATTTTTTTTATTTAAACCCGACTTAAAAAGATAAATAATCGAACATATGATTTTCTTCTAAATATATCGATTTTACCTCATTCTACATGAACTAACTTTGAAAATGTTATTATGATAAGAGATATAGTGATTAAATTTAAAGCCTGTTCCAATTTCAACAGGTATTGTCGGTAGTGTCGTATACGTAGCCATTCAACGCCATCGCAAGGGAAAGGAAGGTAAGTTATTTATCATTGATAGTGCTATTTCTTACAAAGAATAGCAAACTTATACTCCATTGGTGTTCCTTGTTTCTGTTGTTTTGTTTCATTCTTAAAAAAGTATTTTTACTTATCCGCAAAACATTGTATAAAACGCATATGCATATTTTGACTCGATTTATTCCCCACAAAAAATACAGTATAGAGCGCGCCATTATGTAATATATGCAAACGGTTTCAAGAAAATATTTTTAGAACCATATGTGCTAATTGGTATCTTTCAATTTTGAATTATTATGAATAATATTTGCTCAATTAATTACCTTGTTGCTCTTTTTCACTATTCTTCATTTATGTTGCACAATTCACGCGTTATTGTATATCCTTTAGTAACTGGTTATACACGGAGGTTGTATAAGCTTTTATAGCAAAAAATATTCTTTTCTACTGTATTTTGAGTTATTTGATTATTTATTATTATTCTCATGTAGCTTCATTATCAAATTTCTTGTGATTGGTGAGTTAAATAATATTCTCATTTTATTCTACTCTTTAACAAAACGTCATTATTGAACTAACCTATATTTGATCTTACCTTTTCGAGATATCACTTTGAATTGTTCTTTAAAGCCGAGTTTGAAAAGGGTCAATCTACCATTTCGCGTTATGTTATTTTGGGTACCGGGAATATTTGCAGCCATGGCATTTAGAAGAAAGTTGGTTATGAAACTGGTGAACATTGATATCCTATATTCGACCATTGCTGCTGTTGTTGCTGTTAGAACGCGTGCGTGGGTGCGCGTGTGTGTGTGCGTTTGTTTATCTGACATTTCGAAGTGGGTGTGTTAACTTAACACATGCAAAGTGACGTTTCACCTACATTATAAGGTTAAAAAAGTTGTACCTTGGCATTTTAACATTCATTCCGTGTATCATTGAAGGTTTAGAAAACTAGCATGGTATAGACATAAATTTAGTTTATGGTTAGGGTAAGTATAGTGTTAGGGTAAGGTTTAAAGTTAGAAGAATGTGTGTGTGTGTGTATGTGTGTGCGCGCGTGTGTGCGTTTGTGCGTGTGTGCGTGCGTGTGTGTTCTTTTTCTGTAAATTTGGTTTTTTTTATTTGTGAGGTTGGGGTGTACATTAAGATTTAAGATTTTAACTTTAAGGTTCAGCAAGTTCGAGATAACACATGAAAGCGAGAGTATAAAAACTTTCAGTCACTTGCGACAAAGGAAAAAGACTTAGTGTTATATATATTACGTCATATGTATGCATAGCTTGAATCGATAAAATCAATGCTAACAGAAAATTGACGCCCGGAATACAGTGTGAATAATGTAAAATTTGGTGTAAGTTTCACCACGACTTTTGCATGGAAAAGTACATGTATGTTATGCCAGTGAGTGCTAATATAAACACTATTTCAAGAATGTATTTATTAATTTATTTTCTTGTATTTATTCTAATAGGTTCTCCTCGACAAGACCCTGAAGCAAAAGGTGATCTCTTTCTCTCTGTTTTTATTATTATTGAATAAGTATATTTTTTAAATAAATGAATTTAATTTATAAATTCTTTTAAAAAGCCTTTCAAAGTTTTCTATAAAACAATTAATTTTGTTCAGTAAAAAATAATTGCATAAAATTACCAGAATAAATATGATATATAAATGTTCGACGTTTTTGGAGGGCTGTTTCTTATGTTGTTATAAAGTTTGCACTATATATCTCTTTTTTGGATTATTCATTTTACCTGACATTTTTTTTGTTATTTATCACACACCCGTGCCAATTTTGCGGCTCCGTAAAAATGGTATTGCACGAGCATAACATTATTTTATTCAACTCATGCAATACATTCAGTATTGAACATACACTCAAAAAATAATCAATAGAATAGTTGCAATAAATATTATTTTAAACTAAAAAATTATTTCACGCATACAAATGGTATCGATTTTAATTGTAAAGATAACAAGTAAGATTAGATAATTGAAGCTTGTACAAAACGGACTACCCTGGTGTCTTTGCACATGACATGACTGGAAATATTTTTTCTAGATTAATGTTCCATTTGATATAGTTGAAGACTAATAACGTGTGTGCAAAATGTTAGTTTATTGTCTCAATTCGTTTTCCAGAATAATTATTTCAATTCTGAAAAATGACCCGAATCGGACTTGAAATAGCACAAATATGACTTAATGTTCTTAATAATCTAATATTGTAATGTTAGTTTTCTCAACTTGTAAATCGAAGTTCTATGAAATAAAGACATTTTTGTACCTTTATAAATGGGGATCAAACAATGGACCAACAACACGCAACGACTATTGTTAAAAGGGGGTGTACATTAAGTTTTAAGCCATTTTTTTTACTTTAAGGCTCAGCAAGTTCGATGTAACATGTGAATGAGAGTGTAAAAAAGGCCAGTCACTTACGTCGAACAAAGGAAAAAAACTTTAGTGTTACATATATTACTTCATATGTATGCATAGCTTGAATCGATAAAATCAATACTAACAGAAAATTGACGCCCCAAATACAGTGTGAATAATGTAAAAATTTGGTGTAAGTTTCACCACGACTTTTGCATGGAAAAGTACATGTATGTTATGCCAGTGAAGAATTTAACTTATTTATTTATTTATTTATTTTTTTAGATTCTCCTCGACAAGACCCTGAAGCACAAGGTGATATATCTCAGCGTTTTTATTATTATATTATTATTGAAAAAGTATATATTTTTTTTAAATAAATGAATTTACGGATTAATTCTCTGTTATTGTCGATAAAGCAGTTAATTTTGTTCAGTTTAAATTAATGGCACGAATAGTACCAGAATAAATATGATATATAAAGTTTGACGTTGTGGGACGGCTGTTTCTAATGTTGTTATAACTTGTAGTATATCTCTTATGTTGTATATCTCTTTTTGATATTTTTTTCTATTATTCATGTAACCTGGTATGTATTTGTTATTTATTACACAACCGTGCCGAATTTGCGACTCCGTTACTTTTCATTTTTACTGCCAATTGACTGCTAACGTCATAAAAATCAACGACGCAGCCATAAAGCAAAAATGCTATTTTAACATCCATTATTCTGTGTCTTTCCCGGTTTATTTGTCAAGTTTCTGTTTGTTGCTTTACTGTCATAGCGGTTACCATTTCAGTGGTATTGTTCACTCGCCCTTTTTTATTAAACGCTGTATCCAAAATGTGTCTTTTAACAAATAGACTAATTCATATTTTGTATTTTATTCTGAAATATTCAATTGACAATCATTATGACTCTTGGAAATCGAAGTTCTATGAAATAAAGGTGTAATTGTAGTAAAATACAAACATTTTTGTACCTTTATAGGTGGGGATCAAACAACGGATCAACGACACCCAGCATACGAGAAAAGTAATCAACTTTTTCATTAAATACTTGATTACAAGCACATGCATTTATAAAATCCATATAATCTATTTAAATCAACAAATTTAATGATATATATCCCGGAATGATTTATAGTTCATAAAGATGTATTATTCACCACAATAACTAATAACTTATTCACCACAGTAACTAATGTGTCCTTCAACCTACAATAACTGATTTTCCGCAAAAATATATCTTTCCCCACAATGACATATATTTTATGGAGATACACTGTTTACTGCAATAACTTCTATGTCTTAGTCATGTATCATTTGAAGACTGTCACATAAATCATATAGCATGAAATACATTTTAATGTTGTTCTTGTTTTATTACTTTACGGGAAGGTTTTCTTATCTTTTTTAATTCTCTTTTTAAAACTTGACAAATATACTGTTTATGCTTTGTTTTTCTATCCAGAATTTCCAAAAAGCATTTTATTTTCATAATAATGTTAAAATATATCATATATTCACAGATATGGTCATAAATAATAATAAAACTGAAAACAATCCAATACGTATTCGAGGTAAAGAAATTAATGTAAATATAATGCATCCAAGTCTTGAAAGACTTCTTCCGAAGCAAGGGGATATCATGAAAACACATTCAAAAGCGAGTGACAGGCCTGCACACGAACATTCAGATGAAGAGCCAATGATGCAGCTTCTAAAGGTAACTTAGAATCAAAGAACCTGCAACTTGCGAAATTTGAAACATTTTCATCGATCCTTTTAGATTGAGCTCGAACGTTTTTCATATTAACGGGGGATAGTACCTTTCGAAATCATCGTTACACATTACGATAACTACCTCATGCTTCGCTACGTTACTGATTGTGGGAATAAAATTTTGCGTTCCCTTTGTTTCTTTTAAAAAGACAAAGGATTTGTACGCGTTAGAAACAGCAATTGTATTACTAGCTATTTCACACAAATGCAAGTTTATTTTAGTATAACTATGACACGGCCTTCTAGAAAATGGTGATTTAACACTCAATTTTGATTGTTTTTGTACTAATTTACTTAAATTGCATCGAACTTATTGTTAGTTATAAGTAATTGGGCCTATGTAGTTGGTAACGACAGCACGGGAACCTAAAAAAAGCAACATCATATTAGTAATTGTTTATCTTGCCTTAGTATACTACTGGTTAGTTCGTAAGATTTCTTACAATATCTGTATTGTCCAATTCAAAATAATTACTTAATATTGAGAATCTCGTCATGAAATAGTGAAATCTGTATGTGGCAATACCATTGCAAATATGTGCTTTGTTTAACATAATATTATAATATCTATCATTTAGATTCCACAAGATGACAGTGGTATTGATATAGAGGATGAAACAACAGCAAGAAAGACAGTACGACAGTGCAACTGAAAAGGACACGGTGACAGTCTGGTTCAGTTATGTACAAGCATTTTATGGTGGTTTATAAGATAAAAGTTGTCGATTGCAAATCTGTTCATATATGCTATACTCTTGCAACCTGTTCCGATTATGAGAGAAGTGTTCAATTCAATATCAAATAGAAGTTTCAATTTAATTTGAAACGATAGAGTCTTTTCATTTGTGTGTGATATGAAGAGTTTGAGTAGTATATACCATGTTATTGCATTTTATGTTAGACATTTTTTTGTCACTATCATGAAAGGAACTCCACTGAGGTTCAAAAGCTTAAAAACATGACATTTGAAAATCTTGCAAATATTAAGAGAATCGCTTAAAATGGAAAAATCTGCAACGGATAATAAAGAAATAAGCTATGAGTATTGAATATCGATTTTACGTGATGCTAAGCGGGATTTGAGTGAAAAGCGATTCATCAGTTTTCATTTTTCCTTTCATTTTTCTCTATAAAAGTGATTTTTCTGAAACAACCGGTTGAGGGAATGACCTGAAAATTGCACACTAGTTATTGTCCAGATCTTCACCAATAAGTGTGCTAAACAAATCTCCGAAAAATGATTTACCAGTCAGGTTATGTCAAAAAACTTCAGTGGAGTCCCTTTTATACAAAATTGAATGTAGATAGAACAGTCCCTTTATTAATTTCTTACATAGAAAATCAAATTTTCAACAAAGAAGTGCATTTACATGTTTGCATTAATGAATCTATTAATTTATTAAACCGAAACTTTAAAATTATGTTTAAATGTTCATTTGTATATGTTACATGACATATTCGTCTAACAGATAAATCAGTTACCAAACAGGCATCAGTTATCTAACAGGCATCTGTTACCAAACAACGCACAACTTTTTTCTATTTTTTTATAAACTCTCTGTCAATTTTCTACTATCGTCAGATTTTTTTTTACCAACCTATAAACTAGTAAACATTTAAATATTGTAAAACACGTTTAGGATCCCTATTTATGACAATTGTTATGAAAGATAAAACTATCGAAACTGCCGTTGTAATAACACTACAAAGGCATTAGAACAATACCTTAACTTACGCTCTGCTACCTTTCGCTTTTGTAGAGTAACGGAGCGAAATAGATCATTTGACTTTACTGAGATTTAATTACAACTTGGCGCTTGTACGATAAATACAGGAATTATTGCACGAGTGCTATTATGATGGGTTATTTCCCTTAAGTTACAATGTGGAAATACAACTTCACGACAGCAATGCAATATTCCTAATTTTTTTTATTAATTGTGAAATGTGCTAAATAAGGTTGCTTGTTTTAGCAATGTAATGTTGTTGTTTTTGTTGTTGTTGTTGTTATTATTCTTATTATTATTATTTTTTCTTAAAGTTGTTCAGCAGCTAGAAATTAAATTGTGTTCTAAGTTATGTATAATAACAATTATAATTCATAGTATGATGATAATTATGATGATGATGATTTATGTAAGATTAACTTTTTTTTTGGAGATTAACAATTCATCCAAGCATTTAAAATAAGACACACAATGCATTTGCTTTGGTTTATTATACTTACATATAAATGTAAACATTCATGTATTTAAAAATATAGCTTTTAACAATTGATTTGCTTTATGAAAGTACTTAAGTCATTTTATGTTGACTCATTCGACTCTTTCAAATATATTGGAAGTCAATTACTCTTTTTAATCAATCACACCTGTTTCGGCAGGTTAGACATGCTAAACGATGTGTAACATTTCAATTCCAATGCGTATATGTTAAATTATCTGACTATTTTTCTAGTACTGAATAGTCCTAGTAACTTTGATCATTTTGACAAATTATACTTGACCCTAGTTTAACAAAATCAACTTGATTTGTCAAGCATTTAGCAATGTAGCTTACATTTCAAGCGAGTTCAGTTTGAACTGAAGAATATAAACCTGTGTGTTCGGTAACAGTCTTGCCATTGCTTTCATAATATTTCTGTTATTGATATATTATATCATGTTTGTCCCATATGTTTGTTAAACTGGATGCTATGGAATGGTTTATCCAATTATATGATAATATATAAGCTTTTCATAGATCAATTGTTTACTTTAAGCAGGGATACAACCATTTGGTTATCAAGTTTGCTCAATATTCATTTTAGAGCCCAATAAAGAATGGTCAAAATAAAATGTACTTGTGTTTTATATTATCGCATTTAAACATACACCTTGTAGGTTTATACATTAAATTTCCTTTTCATTTTTTAACTATTATAACCCCATGATAAATCATAACACTACAATTGACAGTGTCACAATAGGGACTACGATGGGATACCAGGCCGACCACAATTGCTATCTAAACAACCAACAACTCAGAACAGAAAAATATATACAAATTTATTTACAGAAATGAATATTTATAAATGAAAAATGATTATATATGAAAAGTCACTGCGCAAACAAACACTATCAACGTATCTCAGTCTATTTCTCCCGTAAAGTTTCTGTCATGATGTTTCAATAAAGTGGTGGCGTTGTTGAACAAAATTAGTCACAATGGCGGGTGTCTTGTATAAAATCTTATCAAGCGTAACTGTACTTCCTACAGTGTTGGCACAGTTGATAGGATCCTGAACAAGGACATGCGTCACCCTTTAGCCATGGACATACGTGTGGAGGGCCCGTGTCATCTTCGGGTGTGTCCTCAAATAAGAAGCTACAAAGTATAAAACATGGTAAGTTCCATGATAATCAAACATAAGGGTATAATAAAGTCCCTTGGAAAAGACTCGACCTTTGTCGGTTTCCAATAAAATAACGTGCTTCTTTGAATAAACAAAATGTCCACTATAGTACACCATACATTCCGTGGAACAAAAATTCAATCACATCCGCATAATACTGCGTTTCAAATATATTCAAATATATGCCACATAATAACCACCAATAAATAAACGTCTTCCAAAATCATGCCCCTGAAGATCCTTCTCTAGAGATACGTTAGTTTTGATACGTTGTATTTACTTATAACAAAAACTGATGATAAATGAAATGAAGTAAGACGATAACGTAAATTAAATTGATTGAAACAAATCATTACGATACTGCAGCATTTACATAAAGTTACACAAATACGGTAGAACCATAATAAATTATTTATGAATAGATATATATATATATATATATCTATAAAATATCATAGGCACTCGGTTCCAAAACCTTTTATGATTTTAATTTATTTTTAAAAAATTTTCATATCATGTATATAAAGTAGTATTTTATATACATGATATGAAAATTTTTTAAAAATAAATTAAAATCATAAAAGGTTTTGGAACCGAGTGCCTATGTAAAATATTCATGGCTCCTATACAATTACAATATGATTAAAACTTCAATTAACATCCATCAATTAACATGTCTCGGTATAAATTTGCAATAGCTAAACACTAGAATAAAAAGAGCTTTTAAAATTTAATCTGCAAAAATTTAGAAAATTTAGAAAACAATAAATTACTGTCAAATAACTAAACCTGAATCAAATAAACTATAATTCTAATAGAAAATAGTATTTTACGAAATAGCAAAAATTTATGAAACAAAATCACTAGAAAATTAAATTTACCTTGTACAAGCTGTAATTTTATGACAAATATAATGTGTCTGTCACCGTCATAGTGACCTGTGCATTGCAATATATCACTTAAAATTTAGTCATTATATAGCAAACTACTGAGTACTGAGCGGGAAAACAGATCGTGCAAAACATGAAAAAATCGATTTGCACGAAATAAAGCTGGGACGGCGGGAAAAATAGTTATGTAAAATAAAGGCCCGTCCTTCAAATACAGACATAATACATATATCTGGTTCATAAAACAAAAATGTAACTTTCTTATTACTGAAAGGATTTTTGTGAAATAAACGGCAAAATGTTTAAATTGAGACATGGAAATTTATGCAAACCATAAAAATACTCTAAATAATAATTTCACCCGAAAACTTTAAATTGAACAAAAGATGATGCAATCTCACATCAATGAATATAGAGTAAAATGAGGTTCGGCGTGAAAATATAATGCAAGATTTTACAAACGTACTTTCACTTTGTGACAGACAGTTTGGGTGAAATAAATCTCAGTTGTACAAATACTTAAACTCCAGGACGTCTATTGTACAAGTGTGATCTGAAAGATGGCCTGAAGAAAACTTTTAATAACAAAAAAGAATTATTTTTTCTTACACAATCTATGTCGAGCGGCATAATGCGAAAGGTTTGGATCGATCAGGTTGCAATTTCAGGTTTGTGTGAAATCTATTTTCAGCAATATTTATTTTTCGTACTGAAAGACAATGACAAAATGCCCAACTTTTACAGTATACGAGTATAAACAGTAGCAACTTTCGTAACAAAATGTCCAATTTTCCTATTGGCCCGATTATTTTTTTGCGTATTAGACAGTGCAGCAGCTTAAACTGTCCTCAGCCTGCGCGACGATCTACTCATTACTTTGTATAAACTTTTAGATTTTTTGTAAAAAAAACAACATTGTCTGGAGGTAGTTGATTCCATTGAGGGCGATACGTGGCGGCCTCAACATGCGTACCATAGGCATCTTAACCTTCGCGGTGATTTTCTTTTCTTTATATAAACGCTTTCAAAAAGTTGTCGGTACAAAGCACCATTTTCTATCTATTTATTGGTCAATCATTGATAAACTATATGAATTTTCATAAAACTAGACGGATTTTCGTAAAAAAGATCTTTATCCGGAGTCCGCCGTTACCTAGCTAGCCTACTGATCTGATTTTGAGAATTATAATGGGTCCGTGGACGGTAACTAACGGCACTTAGTGCAAGTCTAAAAAAACATGGCCGCCAGATGCCGACGTAGCATGGTCGTAAGTCAAAGCGGTGATTTATTGTTTATGTATATAGAATATACAAATTTTCGTTAAAAGCGTTTTTTCCTGATGAACCAACCTTGACCTATATATTTTCTTTTGATTTAAACAGGGTAACACCTTTCGACTGATAAATGTCTACTATAAAAACATATGTCAACATACACTAGAAAATACCTACATTTACCAGTGGTCGCTTTTTTTGTTTATCATTTTCATAGAGATTTTACAGCATTTACTCTATATTATGAAATGTAGGAAAACGCTGGTAAATACATTTGACATAAGTTGGCGTCACTTTCTCTGATGATGGGCCAGATTATATGTAGAATAATGTTACAATCAGAGCTCGTTAGTCAGCGCGGAAACGTAACATTCTAGTATAGTGTATATGTACATGGTAATGTTTCAATTGAGATATTTGTGGTAATGAAAACATGTGTTCTAAAAATAAAGTGAGAAATAAAGCTATTATTGAAGTCACTATCAAACAGTTTTGATTACGTTATGAATGTTTGAACAATGAGGTGTTCCTATTTAAGTATTTGAAGTTTCAATCGCACATATTTGATAAAAACTTTTATGGCACGAGTTCAAGATATTTAGAATATTATGTTAGCCCCATGCAACGAATGTCATACCCTCTTTATGACGTGACGACATATCCCAAATAACAAAAGTTTAAACCTTTTATTGATTTATAAACTTGATTGGAAGAATGATGTTAGTAATATACTTACATAGCGCGCGTTACATGTTGCTTATCTCCACAATTGAATAGAAATTAAAACAGTTCACTGGGTTTAAAATCTTATTGCACATTTATTCATAGTGTTACATCAAAAGAACGCCTTTATTAGTACATAGCATTCCTTTACTTCTGTAATAGCAACAATGTTGATTATAATTATACTATAAACATACTTCATCTGATGAATTTGAAATCAATGGATCAATACTGTGAAATTGAAGTGGTTTTATTTTTATTTTTAATTTTATTTTTTAATCCAGCCGAACAAATATACAAAACGAAAAACAACCATTTAAGAATACTGATTCCGAAACACAGGTTAATCATATGCTGCGAGCCGGCTGTCCAAACCCCAACTCTTATTATTTATTATTATTATTATTATTATTATTATTATTATTATTATTATTTATTTTTATTTTTATTTTTATTTTTATTATTTGAATCATTTATTGTTTAAAAGATGGGAGGTAGGGGGAATCCAAAGCTCTGGCCAGCAAACAGGCTCTCTCGGCCCCTGCTTTCGGAATATTCTTTTTATTTTAAAGAATTAGTGCACAACCGGATACATTTTAAGAAAAATAAATCAATTTGACAAATCCTCCCGAACCAATACAATTATTGATCAGTCGCAATGTTATATCCAGTCTTTGTTTGCTAACTTGAAATATTCATTTATAAAACATTCTATTATTATATATATAACATGTATCAACCGTCTCCTCATGAATATACAATTTATGAAATTAAAGAAATTTCGTGAACCGTGCTTTAAAAACCTCGAATGATTTAAAACCGCGAAAGAACTCATGAAAATCTCGTGTCCCGTGCATTATTCTACCCAAACATAAACCAAACACTATAAAGATATATAGTAGAATAAAAAGTACAAAAAAGAAAAGAGTAAAAACTTGTTTAAATTATCAAGAAAATTTACTGGGAGTAGACTTCTTTATTACTTTTATTAATACATGTATTATGTTACTCTTAAAATTTTGAAATTAATACTTAACACATCAAAATCCCACGTAAAACTTACAATTAAAGAACGTTTTACCATAGTGCGCAAACAATTTGGAAAAACAAATATCATTCACTCTTACTTGACATTTCTCGTATTCTGGCAAGAGTTAAATTCCTTATACAGTAAAATTCTATGCAAAGAACTAGTTTCATAAAAGCCTGAGAGCAAATATTGCTTATCTTATCTATATCTTTTCTTGTGAAATCTTATCTTATGTTTTCTTATTTAATGTTATCTTATGTTATCTTATCTAATGTTATCTATACCTTTTTCTTATGTTATGTTATCTTATCATATCTTTACTGAATAAGGGCGTCTATTCACGAAAGGAAAAAATAAAAATTAAATTGTAAAGTACAAAGATAAATTTGATTTTTAAGTGTTTATAATTAAGTGAATAAAACCAATTCTTCAACTACAAACTTGGTTTTATTGAGAAAGTGTTTCAAAAAGTTGTCAACTCTAGCAAAATATGGCAAGA